TTTAGCACATTTAGGCAGCTTTTAATATTGTTTGCATCCTTCTGGTTGCCTTTAAAGGCCACACACCGCTGCTTGGTTTCAGGACAGAGTTCAAACAACGTCTTTTTAGAAGTCTCGATCCATTCGGAATCGAAGGTGTTAGAGGCTACAAGGACTAGCTCGTCCTGGGTCATAGTTTTAATTTTAACCACCAGGAAGTTGAGTAACTCATCCTCTACAATAACTAGGCCATCAACAGTCTTATATATTGTAGGTTTTAGTTGAGGCCGGTGGTTTGAATCGGGAGCTACCGAGCCACAACACACACCATCAGCCATCTTGTATCTGTACATCAAGTTTTCACTCGAAATGAAACAAACTATTAAAAATCATTAAAAACTGGCAACATTTAAAAAGATTTTTGGATATATAGCCTACGAGCACTCACATCTACCAATGGTGTCGTGTTCTCTATCCTTTAAGATGGACCTGAATTCCCCCATAGTGATTACATCTGCGAGTTTCAGCTCCTTCTGTACAGTATTCCAAGCTGTGGGGGCAGCATATTTAACAGCTGTTTTGTTCTTACGTTAGGAACCAGCATCTGAATAAAATCTTGGGAGCGCAGGCCATACAGACTTTCTCTTTTACACATATATGTGCAAATGTAGGAGGGAACCAACCCAAGCAGAGGTTTAATGGGAAAGACAAAGACAGACAAAGATGGCCAATTAGCAGCAGCATATAAAGTGCAATGGTGTACTCGATATCCACATCCAGTAATAAAATGTAAAGTTCAATGGTACACAGTAAGCTCTTTAGGCACTGGTCAGAGGCATTCATGTATTGCAGATCACCATAATCTAATACAGGTAAAATCGTTGCGGATATCAAATGTTTCCTTGTCTGAAAAGAGAAACAGGATTTATTTCTGTAGAAGAAACCTATTTTGATATAGAGAGGCGAAGTCCCGCCCATCTATTTCCGCCCCATGGGACCTTATTTCGGAAAAAGTATGTATTGAAGTCAATGGGGAGAGAAAGATTATCTTTCGATCCCGTTTGTGCCACGAATTACACATATGATGTTTGTCAATCTTAAAAAATAATTTCCATGTCACAAAAGTCACAGATTTGTGGTAAAACTGTTGAAATATAAGACTATGAAAAATACGCAACTAGAAAGACTACAAATCCCAGAATCCCGGTCCCGCATGCTGGCTCTCACGGAACCGACTAACTCGCCTTGTGTGTATGTACAGCTCTCAGAGGTGAGATTTTCACCTCTTTTAATACTTTCCGCCTCATTCTGAAAGAAAGAAGTGAAATGTGCCAACGTGACGGCCGTCTTGGTGTGTGGTGCGAGATGGGAGATGTAGTTCATTGAGCGGCTTCACACAAAACAAAGTGTTACTTCACAGTTTTACGACACATATTTTTTTTTTTTACTTGCAAAATTATCTTTTAAATTGACAAACATCATATGTGTAACTCGTGGCACAATTCAAACGGGATCGAAAGATAATCTTTCTCTCGTCATTGACTTCAATACATGATTTTTCCGAAATAAGGTCCCATGGAGGTCCCCCGGAAAGGGAGGGACTTCGCCTCTCTCTGCTCACATTTAGAATAATCGATTCTGATTGGTCAATTCGGACATTTCAGAGGTTATTAATACTCGATAACACACCGCTGCTAAGCAAAAATAATCACTGTTGCTAAGGAGGATCAAGGGCGAGAAGGAAATAGGTTAAAAGACAGAGTGTTGGACGTAAGGGAAATCATCATAAGTTTAGTTTGGCTTTTTACTAGCATTGTTTGCCTGCTATTAGTTTCTAATTTTAGAAATGTAACAGTTCTTTGACTACCTGTGGAATTACAGTTATGTTTCGTATCCTGAATACCTTATCCCATGTAATCTGTTACTCCCCAAACCTTGTCCTTTGTCTCTATCTGAGTTGCTGCTGTCCTTCCTTGCTGCCGTCATAACTCTCGCGCTCATTTCCCCTCTGCATCCCCATTATGAAAACGCTCTATAAATAAGTCGGAGAGAGAGAGATGGTCAAGTAGAACGTGGGAGGGGGGTGGAAGGATGGAGGGACGGACAGCAAGCGGCTGTAAGTGCTAAACTAGGCCAACGAGGGGTGAGGGAGGAGGGCGGGTATCATATCAAAGTCCTGAGAGTCGCTCTGAGCGCTTCTGCCGTCAATCACTTAATCAATTTCGACGTCAGTCAGTCAGTTTGTGTGCGTCTCGGGTGTGTGTGTGTCAGTCATCTCAGTCCAGACGGTTTGTCAGTTAGACGGAGTTGGCGTTGTTTCCTGCTTTCTGCCCTTCCTCTCTGAATCTAAGAGCTGAACATGCCTTCAGTTGTCAGGTGTGATGAAAGCAGTTAAGGTGTGCCTTTTGATCGGATAGAAGTAAAGAGATCCAACGTGTAAAAGAGTTCAAAGGAGATTATGGAGAGGACGTATTTTGTTCATTTTCAGCTTCATATTTGTATTTTTTGTCTCTACTTTAAAGAGTCCTCTCCTGCTGATGTTCAGGTGTATATCAATATGTAGTGTCTCTACTTTAAAGAGTCCTCTCCTGCTGATGTTCAGGTGTATATCAGTATGTAGTGTCTCTACTTTAAAGAGTCCTCTCCTGCTGATGTTCAGGTGTATATCAGTATGTAGTTGTCTCTACTTTAAAGAGTCCTCTCCTGCTGATGTTCAGGTGTATATCAGTATGTAGTGTCCCTACTTTAAAGAGTCCTCTCCTGCTGATGTTCAGGTGTATATCAGTATGTAGTGTCCCTACTTTAAAGAGTCCTCTCCTGCTGATGTTCAGGTGTATATCAGTATGTAGTGTCTCTACTTTAAAGAGTCCTCTCCTGCTGATGTTCAGGTGTATATCAGTATGTAGTGTCTCTACTTTAAAGAGTCCTCTCCTGCTGATGTTCAGGTGTATATCAGTATGTAGTGTCTCTACTTTAAAGAGTCCTCTCCTGCTGATGTTCAGGTGTATATCAGTATGTAGTGTCTCTACTTTAAAGAGTCCTCTCCTGCTGATGTTCAGGTGTATATCAGTATGTAGTGTCTCTACTTTAAAGAGTCCTCTCCTGCTGATGTTCAGGTGTATATCAGTATGTAGTGTCTCTATTTTAAAGAGTCCTCTCCTGCTGATGTTCAGGTGTATATCAGTATGTAGTGTCTCTACTTTAAAGAGTCCTCTCCTGCTGATGTTCAGGTGTATATCAGTATGTCGTGTCTCTACTTTAAAGAGTCCTCTCCTGCTGATGTTCAGGTGTATATCAGTATGTAGTGTCTCTACATGTCTCCATGCTTTAATGTTCAACAAGCTCTTTATTTTTCTCATACTGTCTGTGCTGCAGCTCCACTTTTCACCCTCCGTCTGAAACCAGAGCCCAGTCTGCTCTGATTGGTTAGCTGGACGGCTCTGTTGTGATTGGTCAACCGCTTAGAGATGTCCCGCCCCTTAGCCTATCACGTACAATTTGTTGGAGCGTTAGCCAATAAGAGCCCGAGTGTTACATAGTGATGTCATCATGTTCTGGAAATTTGAGATTTTAGCCTTTGCAGACCATTTACATGTACAGAAATATATACAACACCCCAAAAAGCACTATAAGGCCTCTTTAAGTGCATCCAAAAACTAATTGAGGCCCTTCAGATTTCCCCCAGGAATGCTCCATAGACTTCCATAACAAAACCTAATATTGAATCCATTCACTTAATGCTTAATACACATATATACATACGATACAATTCACCACACTCTCGTTTTCGCATTCCTGCCAATACTTCCTCCCCTCCTCCCCTCCTCCCCTCCTCCCCTCTCTCCTCTCCCCTTGTCAGGACGCCAGCCTCTCATCTGTAGGGAGAGTTTATATCCTCCATAATACATACCATAATGCTGCTTCAGAACGTTCCACATGAATTATTGATCCGCGCGGTAAACTATACGCCATCGCAACATGTATCTGTGTGTGTGCGTTTATGCACTATTTATGTGTGTCAAGTGTGACCTCTTCTCTCATCTGTGTGTGTGTGTGCTTCGTTCCCCCTACCCACAATGCCCCATTTCTGCGGACTGACAGTGATATGCACTGATTCATATGATGCATGTAGTCCCTCAGCAATTCACTTTATTCAATCAATGTTGCATGCAATGTTCCATCTCCCCCACAATAAATAGTATTTTCTTTTCATTGTACACTATTTCATTTTACATTATATTCTTGGTTATCTTATTATATCTTACATGTATATAGACTCATGCATTTATTTGGTCACTTACAACATTCTCTGCAACATGTATTGTATTTTATTTGATATGTATAACGTTGACTTCCCCTGCTTTACTGCACATTGGTCTCGTTTTCTTTTAAATGTGTTTAATTGTTTTATGTGTTATATGTAAGGGCTGCACACTAACCCACCAACTTCAACAACAACAGCGTAACTTAAGATTTAAGGGCATCTCTGATCGATGTTGACTGTAACTGTTATAGTCCTTAAACCCTACAGAGCCCATACCGTGTTCCTGTTAGTGTTTACTTCCTGTCTGTCTTCTTCTGGTGATTTCTCTGACGTCCAACGCTAAGTCTTTTAACCTGTTTACTTCTCTCCCTTGATCCTGCTTAGCAACGGTCATTATTTTGCTTAGCAGCGGTGTGTTATCGAGTATTAATAACCTCTGAAATGTCCACTGAACTTTTGAAAGAACATCCATAACATTCATCTGTTTGCAACTTATATATATATCATATTCCAACTACTTGTATATAGACTATTCTGCACTATTTCTATTATATTTTATTTTATTTACTTGCACTATTATCTGTTTTATTGTATTGCACTGTTGGAGGAGCCTGTGACCTAAGCTTTTCATTGTCATATCTACACTGTAGCTATGTACACAGGACAATAAAAGCCTTGAATCTTAAGAAATTCTTGAAAATTGACCAATCAGAATCGAGTATTCAACTCATTCAACTTTGTCTCCCTCTCTCTCCAGGTATTACTCTCCCACTCCTCCACCATGCCTGTTTACGGCTGCCGCACCCCCTCCTCACCTGGGGGTCGATCCAGTCCCTCCCCCCCCACGACAACCCCTTCAGTCGCCCAGCACCGAGAGAGGCACATCGGACCCTCCTCACCTCCTCCCCCGCCTCCATCGCTCCACCGGCCCCCCTCCCACTACCTCTCTCTCCTCCTCCTGCTGCTCTGCCTCCTCCACCTGCCGCCGGCCTGCCACTCCCGGAGAGAGAAGGGAGGAGGAGGAGGGGGAGGAGGAGGAGGAGGAGGAGGAGGGGGAGGAGGTGGTGGTGGCGGCCATTACGTGCCAATCCCCCAGCCCCCTCCCCACCACATGGCGTTGCCCAACATCCTGCGAGGCCTCAGCATCGCTGTGGTGCTCGTGGGGAACTCTAGCGAGATGGCGCTGGCTGGAGGGCGGGAAAAAGAAGACTTCCTCCACATGGCGCCCAACGTGGAGGTGCTGACGATGAACGAGACGGACCCCAAGAGCATTATCAAGAGCATCTGCGACCTGATGACGGAGCACTGGCTGCAGGGCGTGGTGTTCGGGGACGACACCGACCAGGAGGCCATCGCACAAATCCTCGACTTCATTTCGGCCCAGACGCACATCCCCATCCTGGGAGTCCGCGGGGGTTCGTCCATGATCATGGCTGCCAAGGTAAGACGGTCTTACTTTAAAAACGGCAGTGAAAAAACTGAAACGTTGACTTTCATTAAATGTATTATGTCAATATATTTCACATGACTGTATTAGGTATGTTGAAAGCAATGATAGTAACCCTTTTTCGGGCGAGGAACCATATTTGGTCACTTCCGCACACACCAAACATGGCCTCCCCCCCGCGACTCAGTGAGGTCGAGAAGCATGGGGTTTTCTCCCAGCCAATCAGTGAAGATGCCTCTACACCACAGAGCGCACCATTGGGGAATTTGACCAATCAACAGAGGCTTGAAACGTTTTAGGTTTAGGGTTAACCCTGATATTGAAAAGGGGAAAACTCTGCATTCAATCTGTACAAGTTGTCATATAAATATCCAATCTGCATTATGGGACACCTACAGAAAGGCAAACAAATAAATGTATAAATGGGGGGTTCAACACAATTCATAAACAAAGTTATAAAATGAGTGTCAAAAAAACACCTCACCATTTCAAGGTCTTTAAATTAAATGCTTAAATAAAGTGGGAAATGAAAATATCCAGTATTAATATTATTGCTTTAACTTACATAATACAGTAATTCAAAATTATTTGACATAATACATTTAATTAGAGTCAACGTTTCCGTTTTTTTATGGTTATGTAAAAATGTACAGTTGTCCTTCATTTACAGTAATTGTACCAGGAAGTGTGTGTGGGTGTTTAAAACGGACCTCGCTGTCGTCAATCCTGGCTGTATCTGTCACTCACGGAGAGATGACGTCACTGCGCTGGGTTTTTTCCATCAAAGAAAGATATTTTTAAAGACGGCTGCTCAGCTTTAAGTGCTGTTCATTTTCTAAATGGAATCAGTGTTTTGGCATACGCTCTCTCTTTTTATTTTCTCCCTTGTTTTGTCTCAAATTAGTGGAGTTTAACAGGGTCTGCTTGTTAGGCTCAGCGGGGCTCGGCTTTGTGTTGACGGCCAAACAAAACCCTGTTACTGGTTCAGATTCACTAGAAAGTGCTTAAAAGCCAGATAATGTGCTTTAAACCTGCCCTGCATATTTAAAACCTCCTGCTTTGTCCTCTTAATGTCGGATTCAATCAAAACAATGAGGTCTGTTTGACTACTTTGGCTGCAACAGAGGATTTCTCTTTTCATCCCCTACCGACATCCAGAGATGGCAAAAGTACACACATCCTTTACTCAAGTAGAAGTACAGATACTTGTGTTTAAAAATACTGACTAAACTTCTTTACTCAAGTAAAAGTAAAGAGGCTTTGAAATGTACTTCAGTAAAAAAGTACCCATAACTAGCAGCTGTTTTAAAGAGTACCTGACCTCCCTTTATATTAATAGAACAATAATGTCATTGTTAGCTAATGAATGTTTCCATGCTGAACAACGGCAACATGACAACGTTTCCATTGGTCCCTCTTCTTTAGAGAAGACCAGGAAATGATGGATACACGGATCGTGTTCAAATCAATAGGCACAGACAGACAGACACACAGACACACAGACAGACAGACACACAGACAGACGGACAGACACAGACAGACAGACAGACACACAGACAGACACACAGACAGACCAGACAGACAGACACACAGACAGACAGACAGACAGACAGACAGACAGACAGACAGACAGACAGACAGACAGACAGACAGACAGACAGACGGACAGACAGACAGACAGACAGACAGACAGACAGACAGACAGACAGCTTCAAGTCACGGACAAACAGACTCAAAAACAGTTTCTACCCCTGGGCCGTCAGGCTGCTCAACCACCACACATAATGCAATAACTGTAACCATTCTCACACATACACACACTTTTAAATGCACTTTATATACTATTTTTTATATCAATATTTTTAACTATTTATTCCCCCGTATGATTGTATGTTGTCTGTCCTATTGCCGTGTTTTTTAGTGTTATGTATTTGTTTGTATTTTTTGCACACTCTGAATCTCGTTATACTCTGTGTATAATGACAATAAAAGGCTTTAACTTTAACTTAACACAGACAGACAGACAGACAGACAGACAGACAGACACACAGACAGACAGACAGACAGACAGACAGACAGACAGACAGACACACACAGACACACAGACAGACAGACAGACAGACAGACAGACAGACAGACAGACAGACAGACAGACAGACAGACAGACAGACAGACAGACAGACAGACAGACAGACAGACAGACAGACAGACAGACAGACAGACAGACAGACAGACAGACAGACAGACAGACACACAGACAGACACACAGACACACACACAGACAGACACACAAAGTGCCAACAGTGCTCTGCCAGTGGCGGATCAGCTGGAGATTTCACCAGAACAGAGAGCTAGATCTGCGTCTATTTACAAGGCCTCGCCTAATGGGATAAAGCAATCTGCTGCCGCCTGGGAATCTGGGCCTGGACCCCATTCCACAAAAACAGCTCATTGCATTTTGGGCATAAATGTAATAAATATAGGGCTGCCTTAACACGTTGAACACATTTCTTTTGCCATGTTTGACTTCGTCTTCCTTCAGTAGTTCCAGCCATGAATCGCAGGGCAGTGAAAAGGCAAAGAAAAGAAGAGCCATGTGCTAGCAAGTTTCTTGAAATTGCACAGGAGTGGGAGATAAGACAGGATCACCACTGTAGAGTTTTGCAGTGTTTTAGCAGCATAGATTATTTGTCCTGAGTATAGCACACATTATACAGAGGGCAATCACAATATGAATACATATGAGCAAATACCCTGTTTAGCGCACACTATACAGAGGGCAATCAGTTTGATTGACATGTCACTTGTTAGACGCTTTTATCCAAAGCGACTTACATACATTCAATACTGTGGGCAATCCCCACAGGAGCAATTTGGGGTGAAGTGTCTCAGGGACACAACGACATGCTGACTGTAGTGTGTCTCGAACTTGTTACCCCCCTGATTCGAAGTCCAGCACACTATCCACTGAGCCACAGCCTCCCTGTTACCACTATACGAACATGTGTGTGTGGCACATTATAAAGAGGGCCGTCTCAATATGAATACTTCTTATAATAAAGTAAAAAACCCTTTCATTTCAGTTGGTCATACAATAGTCTTTTACAACACCACGCGTGTATTTGTTTGATCTCCCCCCAAGTGACCTAAGAATGTCATTGTCATAACTTCACTGTGTACAAATGACAATAAAAGCTTTGAACCTTGAATAGACAATGAACATTTGACACCTCTGATTAAATATTCATGCAAAATGTTATATGCCTTTCATGCAGGGAAAGTGAAACCCTTTTATTAAAATACTGATATTTTATTCTGATGTGGAGCTCTTCCTTGAGGCTGTTTGATCGCCCACAGAGTCTCCGTGTTTTCCCTGCAGTCGCTCTGCTGACCTGCTGGTGTCAACAGGTCTCAGACCAGCCGAGACTCGAGTCACTGTGACACAACGAGGCCAGCGGCCGCACTGTAGCTCTTCTTTCTGTTGCTTCTCATTAGCGCACTAAAGAGAGAAGTGGCAGGGAACAGTCCAGTCCCATTTCAAACTGCTGTCTTACCAACCTCACTGCAATCACTGTACACACATTCTCTCTACTTTCCACAATGTCTGCACACATGTGGCTTTAAACCCCAACCCCACTTACCATGGGTTTTAAGATAGATAGAGAGATAGATGGATAGATAGAGAGATGTATGGATGGATAGATGGATGGATGGATAGATAGATAGATGGATAGAGAGATATATGGATGGATAGATGGATGGATAGATAGATGGATAGAGAGATATATGGATGGATAGATGGATGGATAGATAGATGGATAGAGAGATATATGGATGGATAGATGGATAGATAGATAGACAGATAGATACGTAGATAGATAGATAGATGGATAGATAGATGGATAGAGAGATATATGGATGGATAGATGGATGGATGGATGGATGGATAGATAGATAGATAGATAGATACGTAGATACATAGATAGATGGATAGATAGATACATACATAGATAGATAGATACGTAGATACATAGATAGATAGATGATAGATAGATAGATGGATGGATAGATACGTAGATAGATAGATAGATGGATAGATAGATAGATACATACATAGATAGATAGATACGTAGATACATAGATAGATAGATGATAGATAGATAGATGGATAGATACTTTATTGATCCCAATTTGGGAAATGTTTGCGTTGCAGCAGCATAAAAAACAAGGCAATGTACATAAGAGAAATAAAGACACAAGAAATAAAAAGTCCAAAATATTTCTGAAATAAAATAGCATTAAAAACGTAAAAAATAAATGAGTGGGTTCTCTGATGTTAATTTGTTGTATCCATCCCATTGCCTATTTTACCCTTTGTTTTCCATAGAGTCATATTTATCACATGCTCCATATGTGCTGATAGGCTTAGCATTTGCCTTGAGTTGAGTTTGTCTCATGTGCTCTGCCAAAATGTTGAAGGACTTTGATCTGCATCTTGTGTATGAAAAGCTTTATTATTATACAGTGGTGCAGTGATGATGTATTTCTGTAGACCGACTCCGAAGTTAGCGTCTCAAGGGCTCCCTCGGCAAAAATCGATGCGATTTCCCCGATGGGTTTCGGTAGATTGCAGAAAATAAGAACTGTGGCAAACACACGTTTATGATACTTACAGGTTTTGTTCAGCAGGATAATCTCCATATATTAAAACATAAATGCAATTTCCAGAAGTAAAAAGCTAACGTTAGGCTATAAAGGAACTACATCACGGTCACATGACTTCACATCACCACCGCTAAGCTAAAGGTGTCTAATGAGGATATTAAGTCGTCTCATTTAAACACTTGTTGGTAACCGCTGTTTCTATGACACTAACTGGCACATTTTATATGGTAGAAAATGTGAAAATCTCTTCAGCTTGTGTTTACAACAGACCTTATTTCAGGCATCTATGCAAAAATACATTCAAAAAAAAAAATGACTTCAAGACGAGG